CTCCTTGTGTCAGGTCACCGAAAGAAGCACAGCTTACAAAATGTTTGAATTTATCACGATTCTTTTGATTGAGGACAAATCTTTCAATCCAGGGTATAGCGTAACAATAAGTCATTGGATATCTCATTCTCGAAGAACAAAACAAAATAAGATTTCATACGATTCCCATAATTTTGCTCCTACTTAAATACAAAGTCTTTTAATCTTACGACTGATCCTTAATAATCTATACTTAGTTTTACTATCTTACCAGTTCAAATATTACACGTTTTCAATGTCTATTTCCACAAATTTCCTCTAAATTAAGAACAATGCATCGAATTCTATCATATGATGATAAGAGCTACAGCAATTTCTTTATGGCTGTTAATTTCAATTAGCGCCAATTTATTTTTTTCAGAAAACCTGACAATAAATATCATGGTCGTCGTGATTTTATACTCGATGGCACACCACTGGCAGTAATTTTCTGAAAATGTATTAATCAGCCGTTACTGCATAAGTCTCTCCATAAAAGCGGCAAAACTCTCTAATGAGTGTAAAGTCCACAATAAAAAGTTGTCACATTACGTCTACTTTATAGTACAATTCCATGTTTCGCGTCAAATAAGCCTGCTATGATTGTGTAAATCATTTCCTTATAGACAATCAAGCTGTAAAGTATATACTTGATGGCTATTCATCTGGAAAGGTACTATATCATTACATGCAAATGTCATGGGAAAATGACAATGACCATTTGAGTGCTGATATTTTACATCATAAAAAAGGACTTTTGATGGTTGAAGATTTGTAAATTGCCCCCTTTGGAACCCCTGCACTAATTCACATTATTTTGATGCATTTATGTAACACTTCAGTTGAGTTTAAACACTAAGGCCAGAACTCTATTCTCTGGATTTTCTTGTGGAGATTTATAAAAAGTAATTTTTTAAAGATTCAATATCTTAGATGCCACAGCTACCATATGAACCCCTTTTCTATGATAAATAATTACATAATAGTGAACCAATTTCAAAATGCCTATTTAGATTTATCTGTTCATTTGTTTTATTTGTTTATGCCAATTTTAACAGGATGTTTAAAAAATATTTTTCATGAAAAAGATACATTGAACCCTGGTTATACATTTGATTAATGTGTCATACATCTTAATTTTGTTTACAGAAGGTTTATTTTTAGGGTTATTTACTGGCATAAAAAGTCCTAATAGCAAAGATGGTCTGATATATAGGTATTAATAATATCCTATATTATACAATGTATCATCTCATATCCTTAAATAGAGACACATTATATATGATAAACAGCTTTTTAATCTAAGGGAAAATTAAAGGACCTCTATTTAATCTTGAAAAATGGCTACAATTAATAATTTACTACCATGCAAAAAAGGTATTATTCTCTCATTTTTCTTTGTAGCAAATATCACTAATAACAGAAGAACATTTTCTACATATATACATGAAAGTAAATATTTGGAATAAAATACAGTACAATATTTGTAAATATCCGTAAAAAATATCCTATCTATTTTTATATTACTGTATATGTATACTGCCTCCATAAAATAAGAATTTTCCCTAAACGTATCGGGAGGGGGGGGGTGTAAGTAGGTTTCTGCTGAGAGTAAATGTCACTCATTTGTTCATAATTTAAGTTAAACATTGAAATTACCAAATGACGCAAGCTAATATTTATAATAGTTACTTAAGAAAAAATATTTATTGTCTTTTAATTATTCATGTTTCCATACAATTCATCATGTCTGTTTTCTATACTGTTTTCCTGAACTAATTTAATAGACTTTTATAGCATTAATCAGTGCCCTCAACAGGACATTACCCTAGCTAGGTACAGATTTCTTATTTTACATTTTCTTAAAAATTATATCTAATTCCTATCATGAATGCTCTAATATTTCTTGATTCCCTGCTGCAGGCCATTAAACGGGGGGGGGGGGGGGGGGGGGTAGCTCGATGGATTAGGGCCAATTACCCCCTGGCCAAAAATTCTTTCAAAGGCATGCAGTTTTTCACAATTCTAAGAATTTTTAAAGAGATTTGGGAATTTTTGGATAAAAATTGTCAAACGTAAACTCCCCTGGAATTTTATAAAAGGTGACCCCCTTGGCAAAAGCTGGATACAGGCCTGCTGCTGGGTGCAGAACATTTCCAACAAGTTGAACTTTTTTTTTCGAACTGTATTTAATTGTTTATATGCTGAGTTTTGATTTATTATAAATGTAATTCATTGGTAAGTCTTAATAAATTTTCTTATTAATATTTTCAAATTATGTGTTATCTTAGAGAAGACAGCACGACCGAGAGTATGATTTAATATTGTCTGATGTGTGACACTCAACTATATTAATAACTGCTTCTGATGTTAGTTCGCCATACACGGAGTAATTATTTCTTCAATCAGTCGCAAATACTCTGCGATAATATGTTATTAATCTTTTAATAATTTGTCTAGATTCAATACCATCACGAATGATGCTACTCATTTGTATATGCCACTTTGGGAAATGAGATGAAACCGGGGGATTGACGTCGTCATTTCCCTCACGTACACCTTTTTTCAAACAAAAAAATGAATTTTTGAAAGACACGCCATAATTAATAATAGATTTATTATGGATGGTTATGAAACTTTAAGAAAAACTTGTTATTTGACAACCTGATCAAACTGACGCAATTTAATTTCCAAATATTTGTAGGGTACATTTATCATAATTATACCACCCAAGATTCAGTTAACGTAAGTTATGACGAAATTATAGAAAAATTAAGAAACCTCTTAAATTACATTGGTGAGATGAGTTGCGGTTAGGCCAAAAGGCCATAAATTGATGGAAATAAATACCTACTGGAGTAAAGAAATCTCATTCACTGGAGTTGCGGGTCATATTGCCCTAGCTCTAAGATATCAATTTAATAATACCAAACCACACATTGCCTGATCGTCAATTATAGAAACTTTAATGAAAATGCTCGAGAATTTTATGACATCATCGGTTATCTTTTATTCCCTCGTATAAAAACCATTTTGTAAATATCATTCATTTATTCTACTCCTTGTTAATTTGACATATGTGACGTGACTCGATTTCTGGGTTTTAATACAAGATTGCAAAAGCATTTTATTTTAATGAATTCAACAATATATTTTAAAGTGAAGTAATATCATGATGAAAATACAATGAAATGAAAAAAATATAATGAAATATGTAAGAGACTGTAGAAATGTTTTGGATAGGAATAATCTAACCTTGACAGAGAAGTATGGACGAGTATGGAAATATGAAATCCAGGAAATGAATTCTATGCAAGATTTAATGTCGCATTATTTGCCAACACTTTATCAAGATAGTCTTTCAGTATTGCAACTTCAGTCATTTATCCTTCAGCGAAGTCAGTCTTTAGACACAAATAATTTTTCTCCTATGACGTCCATGAATCTCAATATTTGCACGATGAAGAGTTTTAGTGGGTTAATGGTATAGATTGACTGAATTTTAACCTTTTCAATGATTTCGACTTTACATGGCTTCCATAGAATAACCCATGACCCCATGGGTCAGACATGCTATAAACAAAATACGCTCACTTTACTAGGTTTCACTGTAACGGATATTGACCATTAAAATGACACTGAGCTTTTGTGTGCCATGTTAACTGCCTCATATAAATTAGATTCTTTACATAAATTCACCATTCTAGGGACATGACTTTGATCTGAAAAACGTTAACTTTTAAAATGACACTGTGCTTTCATGTGTCATGCATTGCCACATATAAATCAGATGCTTTACATAAATTCACCATCATTGGTACATAATTTTCGTCTGTAAGAAGTTAATCTCTAAAATGACACAGACTTTAAATTATGGAATACACAATTGAGTTGATTCTGCTCAAGAGAGCACGCAAGTGTTTCAAACGTGATTACAAAGCATTAACAGTAAAAGTCAAAATGAAATCATTGAATTATTACGTTGAATTACTCAAAATGTCATGACTTTCAAACCGCAATAAATTATGCAAAAAATATTGTCAACACACGCAATCATGCATGTTTTGAACCAATCAAACACTTCACTGACTAAGTAATGATCGACAACCAAAGGGAAATTCCAGTCGCCTCTGAATCATGGTATTCGGAATTTCTTTCTTCATTGATGTTTCCCGAGCCTAAGCTTAAGAAAAGGCGTGGGGCGCTAATACAAATGGGACTAAAGAAGTGAAGCAAGGCTTGTTATCTAATACAATATGGTTAATTTCCAATTTGCCGTTTCATTGAATGTATTCGTCAACTGACACACATTTAAAGAAACTGCAATTACAAGTGTTTCTCCAGACACTTCATTTCACTACGCATGAGAATTCTTCATAATATAAACCGAGACTGCACAAAATTAGGTAATTTGGTCACCTTTTGAGATATCAATTTCAGAACCGATTTTCCTGAATCTCCCAGGGGCCAGCTTCTATTATAATATTTTGACATTGTTCAAAAATGATACTTTTAAGGGATGTCCAGCTACATATTTTTTGAGAACTTGTACATGAACATGAATGTAAGGTAGCGACATCTTGCCCCTAAGAAATGGCTTAAGGGCAAGGCACTGATCATTCCAACTAAATGTAATATCTCCAATCCCCAGGCTCCAATCATTGGGGTATTAAAAGGGACATTCATTCCTCGCAGGACCCTCCTAATCTCTCTCCTAATATGGTAGCTATAATCATATATCTGTGGATTGTGTGCACTCCATCTTTTATGTTTTCAGTTAGAAATGGATGTCTGTACCTCTAATACTGTACTTAAGTATGATTTGTGTATATGTGCACCTTTAATATCATATATGTATGTGTGCAGTTTTAATATCATATATTGTATATGTATGTGTATTCCTATGATATTGTACATGTATGTGTGTAGCTATGATATATGTATGCATATACCAATAGTATTGTATGTGTAGCTATGTGTAGCTATAATATAAGGCTATGGGCCTTACCTTTGTCAATCTTTGGTGGAGGTCTGTACTTTGATCCAGTCTGACTCCAGTACACAGGAACTGATCCTCTAACTTGAACAAACGCAACCTTGTGGCTTGCAAATTCCACGATCTGAAAAAGTAAAATATTTCTAAAATCAAAGTTTTCCAAGGTTCCATTTTTTCTTGATATTATACTCAGTCAATCCAATTTAAATAAAAATTTAATTCATTAGATATTATATCATAATATTCTTACAGCTTTTCCATCTGATTTGTTATTACTTTGTCATATTTAGCCACATCTCAAAATACTGTTGACTGGCAATGCATTGTCAACTGTAACACTGGATGCCCATGAAAACCCATGAAAATCAGGTACTTTAATTGAAGTACTTTTGACATTATTAATACACTTAATGTGATGCTATTCACTTAATAATTAATTAAAAATTCTGTTTTAAGTTTAAAAAACATAAATTGAGAACCTATTCAGGGCCGTAGCCAGGGGGAAAAGTGGGGTTCAGGAGAACCCCACGCCCATGGAAAAAATTCTTTCAAATTCATGCAGTTTTTCACTATTTTGAGCATTTTTCATGTGATTTTGGGCAAAATTTGTCAAGTGAACCCCCTGGAATTTTTGTGAAAAGTGAGCCCCCTTGACAAAAGCTGGCTACAGGCCTGATCTTATAGATACAACAAGCAAATGGCAAGTAAGGATATCTTAAAAAACTTTTTCAGAGGTGCGATAAAAAATGTTACAAAGTACTAAAAAGCAAAATCATAAAGAAATACAATAAAACACAAGCCTTTTCAAATAAATAAAGTAAAGTAATTCTTTTAGACCAGACATGAAATATTGCATGGATTTGTTACCATTATGTAACCAGATGCTATTTACTCCTAAAGTATTCAAACCCCATTAATCTTGCATTATGTCATGGACAAAAAATATTTATTTGCATCATTCTGCAATCACAATTTATCATTGGAGAATGTCATGATATATTAACAATACCGTTACAAATGGATATCTAAATATTTTACTTCCACATGAATTCAGATTATTCAATATTCTAACATATTTAACTCTTTTTATGAGATTTTTCTCTAAAAGCATCGCTAATTTTTCAATATTTTAACGAATAATATGTTTTTAATCACCCCAATCTTAACATGTTGTTGCTAAGCATAAGCAGACAACAGTGCAGTGATCAATCTGATTGGTTAGTCGATTGATTGAGCACTGCGTATTCTCATTTGAAAGTTTAGATCACAGAATTATTCTTTGTGAGAGTGCAGAAGAAGCTTTCTTTTGTTATGCAATCAAAGGGTAGCAATTCAACAAACAACCAGGGGAGAAACAAAATGGAATCAGCATAGAATATCTTTAACATGAAAGGTTCCTTAAGGTGGATCAAGTGGAATGACTTCAACTTGTACCACCTTAATGATCTACTTAAGCCACACGACACATGATGATCAAAAACATATTAATTAAGTAAAACGAAAGGTTATAGTCTTATTTTTCAATCAGATCAACCTGTTCTGTTTCCACGTAGTTAGCGCAGTGACCATCCGCATCAAGACCCCTTCTTTTGTAGCGAGTTCCTGGAACAAAATAAAATAATCCTGTTAAATCGTAACAATCTTAACTGCTAGAATAACGAATAGAGATAATTGTCTGTAATAAATCGAGTCGTGAATATATAATTAATAACTTGAATTTCTCAGATGCTGATACATGTTAAGAATAATTCCTTAATCCAAGTGCCCAACTTAATTAAAAAAACAATCTCCAGTCCTTTGAAGTTTTGAGAATACTGTAGTTATCGAGGAAACTTATGTTATACAGGGTGACCGGAAAAAAAGGAGACCATTGAAGTAATCAATTTCTCCTAAACTAGACAAGTGCCATCAATGAAATTTTGCATACACTGGAACAGTTATATGGAAATTTGTTACTGAAGGTTTCAATACAAGCATTCAACTGGTTCAGGAGCTATGATCATTTACATAACATGCTCCAAATAGGCACAATTGAGACCAACGCAGAGTTGGATTCATATGGCAAACTACCCTTACATGTTCTGCCCTCTATGGCATTATTATGGCATTACATATAGCAGTGATTGCCTTCTTTAGGTCAACAATAGTCTGAGGATTGTTTTGGTATAGATTGTCTTTCAAATATCCATACAAAAAGAAATCAGCAGGATTCAAGTCTAGGCTGTAATGGCAATGAAGGGTTATCTGACATGTGGTTCATCATCCTGTTGCCAAAGTGCTGATTTACCCAATCTTAAGAGTCACTTTAGGTATTGGGCATAGTGCCATGTTACTAAAACCACTATATGGCACAATTAAATCCCATATGGAAACCAAGGGCTGCCCAAAACCTCCTTAGGATGATACTGTAACTGAGTGGGACCACTGAGTCAGAAGCCATAGGTCAGATAAGCTTCGTCTCCATACAACTCAAATTTGAATCCACCTGATTTCTTTTTGTGGGGCAATTTGAAAGACAATGTGTACCAAAACAATCCTGAGACAATTGCTGACCTAAAGGTGGCAATAAATGCTAAATGTAATGCCATAACAAGGTCGGAATATGTAAGGGTATTTGCCAAATGTATCCAGCTCTGCGTTGGTCTCAATTGCGCCTATTTGGAGCATGTTATGTAAATGATCATAGCTCCTGAACCAGTTGACTGCTTGTATTGACACTTTCAGGAACAAATTTCCATAGAACTGTCCTGATGTATGCAAAATTTCATTGATGTCACTAGTCTATTTTAGGAGATATTGCCTATTTCAATGGTCTCCTTTTTTTCCGGTCACCCTGTATAATGTTATGCAATGATATGTAATAAATTCTACTGTTTCATACACACGCTTTTCTACTTTCATGATATTTGAATTGAAATAAACCCTTTTTAAGGATCTCAGCCGGTCATAAATACTTCTTGGACTCCCTCCCCTAGTATGATGTGTGGTATAATGGAATAATGTGCTTAATTATGAGCTCAACATCGAGCTCAACAAAAGTATCAAAATATTTAAAATCCAGTCTTGGAAATTCCATTGATAATAAAATATCACAAATCTTAGTTATTTTTAAAATTCTCAATTGCAAAAGGAACTATTGTGATACGTGTATTATTACTTGTTTATTATCACATACATATCCTGTGTTTATATTAACTGTGATAGGAAAAACAATATGTAGAAATGTAAGCAGTAAAGTATAACTCAACAGAATTAACAAATAAAAAGTTCAAAAATTCCTAATTCTAGATTCCATTTTACCTAAAAGAGGATTGCTTGCAAGAAAAGGTGTTGTCTATGCACGGTTAACACATTACAGTATTTACAGTATTTGATTTCTGAGAAAATGAAGAATGTAGATCTTCAACATAAAGACAGAAATGTTCATTGATGTCTCAGGATTTCACACCTTAATTAATAAGATCCGTTCTATTGTTTTCTTTTCTCACATTTAATTAATGTAAAATCACCTGATCATAAAACTCAACTTTTGATCAAAATCTCCGGCATTTTTCAAACAAATGCCGATTGTTTAGTTTTCTTTGTAATTTAAAGCAGTAATCCCACCCCATATTCACAATTCCTTATATCTCTTTCCTTGTTCTTTACTTGTTTTTTCCTAAAATGGTACTTTCAAATTTTGAAATTTGGTTCAAAGGTGTGAGGTTATCTTAGGGGTCTATTCAACACATAGAACAAAACTCTTGTCACTGTTGACGGTATTCTCTGTTCACACTTTTACCAGCCATGAAATATCAAGTTCGTCAAGCTGTTTCCTGCATATTAAAAAGACAAGAGAGAAATCGGCATGGAAATAACTGTCCCACAATGAACTGAATTGGAAACCAGAAAATTCAGATACTTCCACCAGAGAAAGTGAGAAAGAAGTGATCATAAGTATAACAATTAATGAAATATTTTGAATGGATGGTAACACCTTTGGTTTTTCTCAAATATAATACTGGATACAGGTACATCGGGATCTCAGTTCATTCAGAAGAGATTCAACTGACGATCAAAGTCATCGAACAGTGCGTCTTGTGTTGAATCATGGCAAAAATAGCTTTATTGTTCGTCTTAACTTCTATCTGTTTTCTCGTGACACAAAAGATAATGAAAATGAACGAGAGTGATTTGGAAATGACAAAACATATGACAGATACCAAAGAAGTTGCAAGAAAAGATGTCACGGGAGAGGATGAAGTGGACAACACTGCAAATCATACAGCAAGTGATAAGAATGATAAGTATGACTATATGTTTATGTATGATAAAGCACCCATCAGTCTCATGGAAAAGATCATCAATGATTTTAATCGAGAGCATGAAGAATATCTAATCGCTAAAACGAGAAATGAGCAAATTAATAAAGATGACATGGCAGGCAATGAAAACAACAAAAATAACAACAATGATGATGAGAGAATGAAAAGAGATACTTCTGGTAACCCGATATTGGAGGATTGTGAAGATAACAAAACAAAAAGATCGTGCACTGGAAGATGCAATATGAAGCAAAATATTGATCTTAATAAGTTCTATTGCCAATGTGACACTGACTGTGAAAAATATGGTGACTGTTGCAAAGATGTTCATATCTGTGATAACAAAGAAGTCGGGCCTACTGAAACAACTGAAGAGTCAAGTGGAGAAAACATTGAGTCCAGTGGAGAAAACATTGAGTCCAATGGAGAAAACATAGAGTCCAGTGGAGAAAAGATTGAATCCAGTGGAGAAAACATTGAGTCCAGTAGAGAAAACATTGAGTCCAGTGGAGAAAACATTGAGTCCAGTGGAGAAAACATTGAGTCCAGTGGAGAATACATTGTGTCCAAAGGAGAAAACATTGAGTCCAGTGGAGAATACATTAAGTCCAGTGGAGAATACATTGAGTCCAGTGGAGAAAACATTGAGTCCAGTAGGGAAAACATTGGGTCCAGTGGAGAAACCATTGAGTTCAATGGAGAAAACATTGAGTTCAATGGAGAAAACATTGAGTCCAATGGGGAAAACATTGAGTCCAGTGGAGAAAGCATTGAGTCCAGTGGAGAAAACATTGAGTCCAATGCGGAAAACATTGAGTCCGGTGGAGAAAACATTGAGTCCAGTGGAGAAAACATTGAGTCCAGTGGAGAATACATTGAGTCCAGTAGAGAAAACATTGAGTCCAGTGGAGAATACATTGAGTCCAGTGGGGAAAACATTGAGTCCAGTGGGGAAAACATTGAGTCCAGTGGAGAATACATTAAGTCCAGTGGAGAATACATTGAGTCCAGTGGAGAATACATTGAGTCCAGTGGAGAAAACATTGAGTCCAGTAGGGAAAACATTGACACTCCATATCTTCCTCAGAAAAAAGAAAAGAAAATGGAAGAAATACCACAAAGTGCTGATAAATACAGTTGCATTGAGACTGAAAAGGGGACTTCTTATTTTCTTTATCAATCATGTGACCCAACCTACACTAACACTAAGACAATCTTACAATGTTTGGCCACACCTCACCCTGATAATACTAATAAACATTCTCTCTTGATTACGCCAGTTTATGGTAAAAAACAACAACATTATCGAAATATGTATTGCGCATTATGTAATAATGAAATTCAAACTGATTTAAAGTTCTGGTCTTCTGAGGTTGTTTGTGGGAATTTAATGAAAGATAGAATTAGAACAAGTTATGAAAAACATGCGATAAACATAGAATCAATATTTCGTTTGTTTTCTGAAGATGGCTGCACTCATCACTACAAATTAACTGAAACGGAAAAATATATTTCTGGTCCTAGAGAATGCATGGAAACACTGGATTGTGACTTTTGTCCTGTTTGTAAAGATAAAGGGTTTGATCCAATGAAATCTAACAAGGGTATATTCTATAACACATATTGCGCTAAAGCATCTGGGTTTGATGGTAAACTTGGTTGCAACATTTCTTCTACCGATCTTTTTGATCCTTTGACTGATTACTTCCTGTCCAAAAAGGTCTTCTCCTTTACTGTTCTAGCTGACTTTTCTCAAGGAGATCCATTTCACCCATCCATTAAAATTAAGGGTGGACAAAATATTTACGGTATGGCTGATTCCAGCTTCTCTTGTTTTGCTACTTCAGTCATTATACCTTTGTTTTGTGAAACAAAAAAATGTCCTGTGAATTTTGAAGTAGTCAACAAAGAATGTTTACCAGTTAGACCTACGTCCTCGATAACTGTGTTTATTACAGTTAATGGTACAAAAATCAAACCTTCTAATACCTCGAGCTACGTAACAAATGACCCGGAAACAGTCAAACTTGCAAGGTTTCATGAAGTAGCAAGTAACGCTATCTCTTCAGCTTTTCCCATTGTAGGTTTCATCGAACATCAATTCACAGCAAGCACACCTCCAGACATTTCCAGCTATTTTTATTTCCAAGTTTTCAACACCAAACCAAACAAAACTGGTTTGAATGGATTGAAAGTGGAACAGAAAGCAATAGAGGAAATTATTTATGAGGGGGTGAATATTAAACCTAATGTTGTGATCTGGTTTGATGAACGTGATATTCTTGACCCTGTAAATGGTTTTGGAAAGGTAATTGATGGGGTCGAGAATGTTACTGAGTCTTATGACGATGTGGTTTGGTCTAACAGCAATGTTTCAAATAAATATGTGAATAGTTTTGTGGTTAATGCATCTGGGTTCATGAGAACTGAAATGATGACTGTATCTTCGTTGCCAATAATGCTTATGACTTTATGGTTTTGCTTGTCATAACTATGAATAAATATGAATATACGCCCTATCAACAAAAATGATTTTTCAAAATGGAAAATAAATTGGGGTCGCCAAGATATAAAGAATGCACCCTGGTAGAAACAAAGAATGTGTAGTTAAAGAAATTTAAAAGAGCGTAACTATCATGCCTTGGCCCATATCAACTCTTGAATGGTAAGAGGAAATCTTGTATGTACAGTTTAAAAAATTGCTTCAACGAAAGAACTGAATTACATGTAGATTGTAGTGACTGATTCATAAACCATAAACTACTAGTATTTAGAGATTGTATGATCGTATGTATTGTTCATACAAGAATTATTTATATCCAAATACATTATATAAATATAACATTAAAATAAATTTAATTAATAGCAAATACAAGATTAAAAATAGGTCGATGAGTACAATTGGATCAGATAAAATATATAATGTATGCATGTGTCAGTAACTGAAAATTTAACACATGTGATATTGAAATTAAGATTTTCTTTTTATCAAAAATATGCATTTGTTATTTCTAAAAAACAATGATTCCCATAACAAAAATGTAACAATAGTGCAGATGTGAGTAGAAATAATCTTGATTTGCAAAATAAAATACTTGAATATATAAAATCTCAAAGTAGTATTAAATCTGACATTATCAACTGTTAATTTTTCGATTATTTCTAAGAGAGTGGATTTCTCATAGACCATGTGTTATAAAATCATGAAAAGTGAAATATCTTTTCTTGTTTCTTGTTTCAAACAGTTACAGATTTGTTCATACTGCACACATTTTTAATGAAATAATTATAAAATTCAATAGGGTTGGATGAAAATATATTGAATAAATCTATTTATAATTTCGTTTGTCTATATTATTATTTTACCAAAGATAGTCACCTGGTGGAGAAACCGAAAACTACTGGCAACTAGATAATTGACCAATAAGGAAAACTGCCAATTTTGATTATTTGAATATTCATGAATATATTTGTTTCAATCACCTGCACGATATCTGCTCCGCCTGGACACAATACATATGTTGTAATGGTCTAAAAGAGAGTCTAGTTTTCCTTGGTCATGGATGCCATGGTTTTCATCAAAGTCCAGCACACAGGCCTTCACTTGTACAAAGCCCTGTATGATTGGCACAATCCACCTGTCTGCTAGTGGACTCTGAAATATACATATGTTACACTTAAATATATGTTACACTGAAATATACATTTGTTACACTTAAATATATGTTACAATGAAATGTACATTTGTTTCACTTAAATATATGTTACACTGAAATGTACATTTGTTCCACTTAAATATACAATATGTGTTCCACTTAAATATACATGTGTTACACTTAAATATACATGTGTATGTGTTACATTTATGTAAACATGTGTCTCACTGAAATATATCAATAGTGCTAAATACAGAATATCACATTATTTTGAGTGATATCATTTTTATCGCCGAGTTGATATCAAATATCAACACGAGTGAGCGAAGGGAATGAGTGTTTATATTTGATATCTACGAGGCAATAAAATGATATCACGAGAAATTATGTGATATTGCGTTTATCCCATGATTACAATCACCTTGTGATGTTCTGATCCAATTTCCAGGATATTGGCAGACAATATAAACTAGAAATTAGAATATCAAATGAATATTTGAAACACTTTATTTGCACTGGCCATTTTGATTTGTACTTTACTCACTGCGAAGTAATATGCACTACTTTCTGTACATGATATAGTTCGTCATAAATACCATTTTTAATCGTTATTTAGCAGCCTTCTAATCAAATTATATACACAATCGTAATTCAATACACCAATGAAACTTAAAGAGAATAAATTAACGGACCTATTTTCTCAAAAGAGAATAAATTATCTGACCCAATTTCCAACAATGTTGAGATAAACGATATCACACGCATATGAGTTTGATAAACGATTTTCTGGAAAATATCACACGAATTTCAATAATATCAGAAATATCAATAGCTGTTATTGTACGGATAACACATTAATCGTGGGATAAACAACATTATTCCATAGTTAGCATGATATTCATAGGATAACATGTGAAAATAAAAACGGTATTTTTGTAATCAGTGGTAAAATATGATATTTTTGACAAATTTTCACTTAACCATAGCATACGGTTTTTTAGCCATGACATACGACGTCGTATGCGATGGTTAATGGATTTTTGCTACTTCAGACTCAAAACGAGGCTAAGTGTCAACATTGCCGGATCGTTTGGAAAATTCGAATTAAAAGACTTAATTTCCGACGATTCTGATGATGACTTTAACTATGGAATAAAAAGAACATCCTATGATTTACTCGTGATATGATTTTAATCCACTCATGGTTATTGATATCTGCACTCTCTCGCTACGCTCGCTCGTGCAGATATCATATCCATTCGTGGATAAAAATCATATCACTCATAAATCATAGGATATCCTCTATATATACAATATACATGTACATATTGAAATATTTATATTAAAGGAGAATTTAAACAAAATATTTTCTTTTTGGTAATCCATAAACAGCTCATTGGCTACTGACTTCACTCATAATGAGTATTGTGGGTTTAGTGACATGATGCTGAATGTTCAAATGTTAAAAAATGTTGTACAAGAATGATTTAATTATTTCGCAGGAAGATAATATTTCATTGGGGAGTGGTCATATATTATTAGCGCTAACATTTAAAGATTGTTTACATATGAAGTTATAATTATAATTAGTTGCATGTCTTGGGAATTAACTGAAAAGTGATAAGCTAACAAATTTATTATTGTAGATGAATAAAACGGAAGTGTGTAAAGTAAAATGTTGTTCTGTATATTAGTCACTCAGTGTGGTGAAAGCTGCTAATCTGCCATCTATTCAAGATTTAGTTCAATTCTGAATGATTTGATATTCCCACATACACTAATATTCACTTACTGGCCATAGTATCCAATTCAAATGGGACAATTATGTTTTCCATCTTAGTTTCCTTTTGCATTCATTCATTTGTTTTGGGTGAACATTTTTAGATGTACATGAGTCAGTCATCATTTATTCATTTAGGTATAGATTTAGGTAGATGGGTAAACATGCAAGGAGTTTATTCAAGAAATGCCAAAATTATGCATATGGTATTGAGATTTAATCAAATTAAAGATAATTTATAGGGAATAAGCATGGTCTGAAAAAAATACAAATACCCCAATACTTGAATCGAGTAACATTTTTCGAAAATCTTATTTTTTAAAATATCTAATTCAAATAAAAGTTTTCTTCATCACCAACAAACCTGGGAAGATATGAGATCCTGTAACATGTGAAAATTCCAGAAAAATCTGGTGTCGAATTTGTCTCTTATGTTGGTGGGTTGTGTATAGGTGTCACTGTGTTGACGCTGCACAGTATTGGTGAGATCACCCCCTGGTGAGTAGTAAAAGGAGTTATTGTCCGCAAACATTTTCTCGAGTTCCTGCAAATATGTTGTGTTTTATTTGATTACATTAATGGGGAAACAGTAACACAGGATAACAGTCATCCGATAAACCATTCATAAGGAACGGACACATAAAAACAAATAACATAATCATTACTAATAAGCCAAATGGGTTGCTCATGAGCACCAAATGCAAGGTATAGTAGAGTGAACATATTAAATGCTAATGAAGGAAAACAATACACAAAAAGATAAGTGGTTAAAACATTTTATCCTGAAGTGGATACTGACTAACTTAATTTATTACAGCAAATATTTTGTGACAAATCTAACATTTTTCAAAATATTGAACGTCCTACCTCTAATATCTTCCTTTCTAGTCTATCTTTGTCTTTAGAATCCTTCTGTAATTCAAAATAATATATTTGTTGAAAAGCCAATGAATCGCTGCTTTGTTGAGGGTTTCAGACTAGTTTATTGTTTTAATTACAAAATTCAATGCATAGAAAATAATTTATTCAAGTTGTCTGCAGCGTATGCATATAATCTTTTCAACTTGTTTCATTTGACAATTGTCATTAAAAAAACTTGTTACAGATCTGAGTTTTTTATTTCTAATATGAACATTTTTCAAGTATGTGCTAGATTTCCAAAGTATTTCATATCCGAAATCTGAGCATTCAAGGAAATTCCTCAAACTATATAAGGAGTGGCAGTATGTCATCTTGAATGACACGATTAAGAGGCAATAAAAGATATATAAGTGACTGAGTTTTTATTTCTTCCCCATACTTGAAATTGTAAATTATTTCAATCATCGGGATTATTTTACAATGATCCAAAGTGAAAAACCTATTTTGTATATGCCATGTTCTCTTGTATCATAACAATCTTGTGGACATTATGCAAAAAAGGTGATTTGAGCAGTCCCCTTTTACTTTATGCGTATACACTGTTTGTGTCACCATATTTATGAAATCAGTCTTTTGATTAAAAAGTGACTTCTACTTAAGATTGACAGAGTAGAAAAAAAACTAGAAAGCAGCAACTCCACGAAGATGCAAATCCTACCGAGCAAAATATGTTTTGATAAATAAGAACTTCTTTGTCCCTAGGTATCAGCATATAAATTTTGAACCAACTTTGTCCCTAGGTATCAGCATATAAATTTTGAACCAACTTTGTCCCTAGGTATCAGCATATAAATTTTGAACCAACTTTGTCCCTAGGTATCAGCATATAAATTTTGAACCAACTTTGTCCCTAGGTATCAGCATATAAATTTTGAACCAACTTTGTCCCTAGGTATCAGCATATAAATTTTGAGCCAAATCTGTCCACCAGTATTTGAGTTATGGCAGATAATGGCTAAAAATGGCCATTTTGAAATTAAGTGACCATCTTGAAAATCTCTTCTTAAGCAAAGCTCCTTTGTCCCTAGGCATAAGCTTATAAAATAAGAAGCAAACCCTTTGACTAGTATTTAAGTTATCAAAGATAAATGGCAGACACTTTAAATTGAGCAGCCATATTGAAAATCCTTCTGGGGATAAGAAGCAAACCCTTTGACTAGTATTTAAGTTATCAAAGATAAATGGCAGACACTTTAAATCGAGCAGCCATATTGAAAATCCTTCTGAGGCAGAGGTCCTACCACTATAAAGCATAAGCCTATAAAATTTGAATAAAATTTGTAAAGCAGTATTTGAGTTATCATCCAAACAGATGGATGAACAAACAGACAGATGGGTTTTCCATATATCCCTCGAACTTCGTTCGGTAGGGTAAAAATAAACATGGACCTTTCAAAGTGATGTGATCCACAAACAAGTCAAAAATTAAACCTATTCTGTCAATCTTAAAACCTTGTTCCGAAACATTTTTTTCAATTTCATAATCATACCTTCTTTGGCTTCACATTTTCGGCTACATTTTTTATCTGGTTCCAAGTCTTCTGTACTGACATAGGTTGACCTTTCTGCACTATTTTCTCTGTGGGTTTGATTCCAAAATGATGTTTTGCGCATCTCTACAAGAAACATACAATGAGTTAATAAAGTCAAGTTACGAATGATAGAACCACATGGATAGAAATCAAAGTACAATATCAGAACTTCATGAAATTAAAATTATCTGTTTAATATTGATTTCATGGATTAACACAAATACCCCCTTTCTTTGACTGAATGGAAGAATATGATGGAGTAGATCTAACAATGACTCCAAATTAAATTATAGCCTCAAATGTAAAGCTGTTTTTCTAGTTTGTATATCATATTAGAGTCATGGTAAAGACCTATGGCAAATACTTCACCTTATTTTCCACTGACAAATATCCCCAACACTGAAGCAATTTTGATCTCTTTTTACAATGATCAGAGAAATCAGCGGTCGTATATTTTGCCATAAATCAAAGAAACCATTGACTTCAAAATGTCACCTCCACAACGTTAGGATACTACATGTTATACTACTTACCTCTAGATCAAGGTTAGGGGTGGGATCTGTTGTCAATGGTAACAGGGCAATCTTTGTGATCCTATACACCATATGATCGAGAACTTTACCAACTTCGACCTGGTCTCGTATTAGTAACAGTCTTTTGGTATTTTCTACAAAATCAAAATAATAAAATGTTTTAACGTTGCAAAATTGAATGTGGAAATGTATGTAGTGTAGTGATAAAAACATTATGGCATTTATAGGAAAAGTAACATTTTTGGTAACCATGTAAACCAGTATAACAAAGATTTGTTTCTAAAACCTGTCCTATAAGTAGCAAGGGTTCGCCCTTATGAGACTATGAGTAGGATATGTGGAACTATGGAGGTTCTCCTTCCAAGCAGGAAAAGAAACATTACAAACCAAATTATTCTGAATATGCACGATTAGCACTAATCACTTAATTCTTATTATGAATTGGGGATCTTTCCTGCCATCATCTTTTGTAAATATTTTAATAATTTGGAGTAGCTACATTACATGTACGTACATGGATTACTAAGGGTGAAATAAATAATCAAATTTGAGGAAAAATTCAAATAGAAAGTGATAATTCGGATATTTGTATAGGGGAAAGTAACTCAAATCAAACATAAATTACACAAAACAAACAATTTTTTTATTCACATGTCATATTATTAATCATATTTTACTAGCATAGAACACCTTCCTAATCAGACTGGCATTATCATTATCAGTTCATTTCTGAATATTTGGTTCTGACTGGGGATAAGCTGGCTGATTATTTGCCATGAGAATTTACTATTCATTTGTCGGTATTGATAAATAACCCATCAATTTTTGAAATCTAAAAATGCAATGAAATATATATACATGCACATAAATATACAGAATATGTATTCAAATCTAAAATGCATTTACCTTGTTGAACTTGAATTTTTCCAATGATGCCATGCACCTTCCCAAGACAGACAGGATTCCAGGCTGAACATATATCTCCACCTAAAACAATCATAAGACATTATAATGCATTTTTTGTTCATCCCAAAAAGCCGAGAAGGCTGTCCTCTAAATTAACATAAAGTGAGATTAATTATAAAATCCTTGGAAGAAATATCATACTTTCCTCCAAATCTAGCCTTGCCCAAGTCGGTCTCTTTTACTTATCGACTTGGGCAAGGCTACTCCAAATCTAAAAATTAAGTTACGCTATTTTTAAGATTTAAGATGAACACTTGCATTTTGACTGAATTGAATTCTTTCTATATATTCATGAAAATAAAGATAAGATAGTACTTTAATGTTCCGTATCTCCTTCTTGAGTAATGGTCAATTACAATAAAAAAACATGCATAGTCCATAAAACATAATGTATAATATATATGTAAAAGTATACAATTGGGATAATGCATAAATTATGCAAAACATAGAGCTGGCATCAAATGTCGGAATGGTCGATTGTCAGTCGAATGCTCTCTGCGACACCCATGTCGACACAACGCCTCTTGATTGACAGTCGGAACTCACATCATAATAAGCTATTTCCCTATGAATTAAAATCTTTGTTACTACCTGCTGTATGGTGTATTTTAGTGAAGTTTTACCGCCTACAATTTTCTTTTTTGTTTTGATCGACTTCCTGCTCTAGAATTAGGTCTCGGGGCCCCTCGAGATTTATTTTCAATGGCTGCCCGGAAATAACTATAGAAATCGAAGTTTTATGTCTATTTATTGCTTTTTCGTCAAAGTCTGATACTTGAACATGGTTTACCTGTAAGTTAAATATAAAACATACAACTGAGGATGACTATTGTGCATCGTATTGCTAATTACAAGCCTAGAAAATCTAAAATTCAGACGGATTTTCTTCAAAATTTTTTTCATTTTTCAAATATCATTGGACCCGACAATGACGATATCGTTGTCGATCGAGAGCTCCGACATGTCAACATTAAAATCCTATTCAATGCCAGCTCTAGCAAAACATCATTAAAATTTAAAGCAATTAGTATCTAGATTAAATTGCTTATTTACTTGGCATCAACTTTCTTTGGAACCATTAAAGCAAATCATTTTTATTTTTCAGTATGAGTGTCAACATTAAGGTTATTAAGAATTCACCCCATAGAATCATTAGTTCATTGTCTTGGCTCATAAGTAAATAACTAAATAGCAGATTGTTATTAAACTGTTTTTTTTTAAATTGTTCTTTAACCTGTTTTATATCAAAATTGTTTATATCGGCTATTGAGCATATCTACTTCCACAACCAGCAACCAGGTATTACCGTAGCACACTAAATAACATAAGGGCTGAATATGGAGACTCCCATTAATATATACATGTATTGCCATCATTTTAGAAAGCACAATTTTGAACTTCAAAAACAAAATACTTTTACTCATAAAACTAGTATTGGGACTTTGAACAATGTCAAAGTCTTTTTGAATGAATAATTTATTGAGGTTAGATTTTTCTGTCAGTCATGCATGCTACAAACTCATGTTTTGCAGTTTGATGGGACATCACCATTACAATATCCAGAACTGTAGCCCTGTGCCTGAATAACCCCCTCATACTAAAGATGACAAGGAATAACAAACCATATAGCAAGTTCCTTGATAGCCTGGAGCCCGGCCTGGAGCCACTCATGAGCGTTATTGTAACCGTATACATGTACTATCTGGACCCTATCAATTAGAATGACTTTAAAGCTGGCATTATTCAATGAGATTCAAAGCGAACATGAATTATTCCAAGCTCAGTTACTCCCCTTTATAAAGGCGACACCCCTTTTGAGTCAAGCATTCAAACTTTATACCATGATTGGTCAGATTCAAATTTTCATGAGAATTAGCTCACTGGAATGATCAGGTAGTGACAAAAAGTATGACAGAATGCTTTGACAGCTTGTGAAAAATATTTTTTCTTGAAAAAAAAATACAAAAATATTTACCTGTTTTGGGATCCAATAATCCACTCCTTCTGTCACACCAAAGTGCATGATCTCCATCTTGCAATATATAGTGATCTTCAGATTCAAATAATTCCATGTTTAACTGTTTAATTTACTTAAAATAGCGAGTAAACTAGCAAAACACTGAAAAACAAAAAATCAACATTTTTTAACCGGAAGTAGATACGAAATTTTCAACTCGCTTGATAAACGAAACTAAAAACTCAGCAGCTTTCGATAACTAATTTTGATAAATAAATAGAATTTTATATGTAAGATTCACAAAAATACATTTTCATGATGAAAAATCAAAAGTTCAGAGTGGTAGTCAGATGAAGTACATAAAATAGTTTATCAACATTTTGAATTTCCCGCCTCTTTGTCTTTTTTGTTCGGGTTTTTCCGTCGATGTAAGCTCTCGGGAGCTTCCGCTAAAGAATCCAAAAGTAAAGATGGCCGACCCGATTTTGATGTTTTTATTCGCAAAATCAAAATTTAGGCAAAATATTGGCTATTTGGGACGTTATTGGTTAATATTTGTATTATTTATTCAAATTATAGTATACATAGATGCTCAACAGCCATGTGGAAGTGGGCTATGTTATGAGGGAAAGTGTCAAAATGGTACTTGTATTTGTGACCCTGGCTGGACCGGGGGAGATTGCACTCACTGTGTGGGGAGAGTAAGGTTAGTGTCGGTTTTGTTAATAATATTACTTATATTCTATTCTATAACATGGATGGATCCAGAGTCCTGCATTTCTACCATGAGAATTGTCATGCCCCTCCACGATCCTCCATCACAAGCCATAATGATATTTTAAAGATGTCACGGTTCCCGATATCATGCCGATATGGACCATGTTTTGGTCAAGATGGTTTGGTTGGTACACGGGACAGAAAGGATTAATGTTGGAACTGTATCGGGACACAAATTTCTTACCTAAAAATGTATAAATGGCGAGAAACACCTCTAAATTTGTTCAGAAAAAATTTTTACATCATCTCCGGCAAATCAATTTGAATTTTCAGTATGGCATCCCATCCTGAAGGTACTGTATCTTGAGAACATTTGTATCATTCCATCCCATTCAGAAATTTGTTTGTAATATTTGTATCCCTCATTGGGATGACAAGATTCGCCACAGGGTTCTTGAATCGGATACTTTCTTCAAGGAAATGGTTCATATAAAAGCTGCAATAGTCTTTGGATTGACCTTGAGATGTCTTAATTCAAATATCCTTGAAAAAATACACTGTTTTATATTTTTAATATTGATTTAAATGATCAGAAAATATGATTTCAAGAAGAAAGGGTTTATAAGTTAAAATGAATCAAACTGATATTGCTTGCAGCGATCCCAAGCATTGAGTTAGGAAGGTCCATATTTACAAGCTTGGCAGAATGTATCATGTTATTTAGGCATATTTTTAATTATTTTAACTACTGGATTAACTAAAGATAATCACTAAATATGTTTTGATACTTGCATTAAATTTAAAATAGGCTTTATGTAATACATGTTTCATAATTAAGTTTGAGCAGAAATAAATTGCATTAATTTAATTGCTTATTCACAAAACATCAATTAATTTATTATGAATTGTTTTCATTTTAAACAAGTAATTTACGTGTCATATTGAGTCTGTTGACAAATCGTGTTTGAATTTAACTCAAGGTTAGCTGTTTGCTTATAAAAAGTTTTTCAAGAGTGTACACCCATTCAGAATGAATCATGATTTATATAGCATGATTTATAGCCAACTGTTCAATTAGTTTTGAGAAATTTGTTAATATACAGTTATTTACTTAAGTGATTACTTGACAATATATGTTCATACATGTATTTCTTAACACTAACGAGAAAAATATTATGAAAGCTTCCTTGTTTGTTATCTTAAGGAGACTCTTAATATTTGCTCAATTTGGAATCGATGATCGTTTAGATTCAAAGGTGATATACAGTAAAACCTATAAAGGTAAAACGTAAAACACCTTTGTTTCTGCTTAAAAGTATTCTACCGGAGTGTTGTTCTACTTCCCATAACATTAATCCATCAGGTCACAAGACTGTAAAGTGTTTTATTTATAAAGGTGTTCAATTTCTAGAAGTGTTCTTCTTATCAGGTCCTACTGTAGGTATGTATCGAAACTTTACATACAGAAGTGTTCGTCATAAAAATGAGATAAGAATATCATCGTACCAGTCAGTTATAATCTTCTGTTGGTATATATGGGGTTTAATCTATGTGATAAAATAATAATAAAGTCATTTTCATTTCTTTATAAAATCAATGAACAAATGCAATACATTATTTTCTTTCAAGATGGAGTGTTACATTCATTAAAAGTACATATCAAATAAACATTTGATATTGAGTAGATATATTGCATTGAAAAAGCATTGAAAATATGATCAATGGAATTTACATGAGGTTATCATACGATGTCTAGAAATGGTGTCCTTAAAACTGAAAAGCTTGCTACATCATGTGTCCTAATTGATTCAATTAGCAAATGTAGAGAAATGATAGGTATCGGGAATTTCATGAGATCATAAAAAATTAGCCATTGATTGTAGTCTAGCTACAAGCCACTGTGAGCCTCTCCTCCCCCCCCCCCTTATGCACCTTCCTGCTTGATGAGAAGGTGTGTAGTCAAAATAGTGGAAGGGGGCACATGGTCTTGTAGCTAGACTATTGATTGTAATAGTAACAAAATGAACATTAAAATTACCTATTGAATTGATTGCAATGCAATAGTAGCAAAATGTCTCTTTTTCATACTGGGTGTTACAAGAAGCTAATAAATATTTCACTTTCTAACTCCAAAATGGCTGTTAAAAACTATAATTGAGACTATTAAGATCTCATCAACCTAAAACTGCAAAATCATCATAAAATTAAGAGGATGTAATGGGAATTCAATGTAGGAGATGCTCCATATATGATACCGACACTCATTTAGTTATCCCATCGAACGAAGTTCGGAGGGATATAGGGAACGCCTCCGTCTGTCCGTACGTCCGTCCGTACGTCCGGGCAATAACTCAAATACCGTTGGCCCGATTATGTTCATATTTTGTACACATATACCCTATGGGGGTAGAAGTTCTGCTCGAAAGCAGATTTTCAAAATGGCCGCTCATTTCAAAATGGCGGCCATTTTAGTGCCGAATTTACAGTAATTTAGGTGCAATATGTAAAACTGTAATAGCAATATGTTTTAGATGTAAAAAAATAATATAGGACATTAATGAAGCTAGAAATGTAGATATTAAAGAAGCACATGGCAGCCATCTTGAAAAATGGCGGCCTTTACTTGTTATTTTACGATTTTTGCTGTAACTCGAAAAGTAGTGGAGCGATTTTTTCATATTTGGTATGTGAATACTATAAACATTGCACACTGTCTAAAGACACTTTTGGTAGAAGGTGGCCATTTTAAAAAGTGGCCGCCATTTTAACCTATTTTACTATAACTCGAAAAGTAGTGAAGCGATTTTGTTCATATTTGGTATGTGAATACTATAAGGATGGCACACTGTCTAATGACACTTTTGGTAGAAGGCGGCCATTTTTCAAAATGGCCACCATTTTAACGTATTTTACTATAACTCGAAAAGTAGTGGAGCGATTTTGTTCATATTTGGTATGTGAATACTATAAGTATGGCAAATGGTCTAATGACACTTTTGGTAGAAGGCGGCCATTTTGAAAAATGCCTGCCATTTTTGCTATATACTTTGTTTGTAAAAATGCCATCCATGGCTGTTCGATGGGATTCGCTACGCTTTGGCGTTGCCGTTGTTCTGGTTTTTATTGCCTTATGCACCTTTCTGATACTTACTAGAAGTTCCTATGTCATAGCTGAAAACACTAATTGTCCTTATATATAGTTTAGGTGGGGCTTTAGGGCATTCTTCTTACCAATCCATATGTGAAACAGTACACAAATATGAAAATGCAACATCCTAAATATATTTGAATGTAGCGATAATGAATTGTCCAGAGTTGTCCACTTAGCAGCCTTTGAATAATCAATTGACTCAATTACTCTAAGTCCTAATATGGCCTAAAAGCAATCACCTTAGGATGGATCAATCAAATTACAACATCATCAGTAGAAATCAAAGAAACCTTGTTTTCCTGTAAAATACTGATTAACTTATCAGTTTAAGGACATAATTTGTAACATTAACTCATTGACCTTATCGTGCTAACAAAATCTAAATAATTGACTCTAGCGATTCGGTTTTAAAAATTTGAAGAGTAAAATTAATGTACGTTGTAAATAATATATAATTTAAGGTAGTATGCTTGCGTAAATGTTACCACAGACTTGTAAAATATTGGAGCATTTCTCCCAGGAGTTTTGTCAAGTGGGTGCTAAAGTCTCACTTTTCCGTTAATTTCGAGTGGGTGCAAATTAATGTAGATATAAGACTATTAGACTACTTTCATAATCCTATATAGGTGCATCACCTTCTTACCCAAATGCCAGGGGAATTACTATTATTATATACAATTATTATGTTTTTCTGATTAATAAAGTACAAGCTGCTTAATATTATTATTAAATCAACATGTATCTCATTTGCTGAAATTAACAAGCATTGCTTCTATTAGTTGTACTTACACAATGATTTTTATTATTAAATTGTGTAAGTTCTATCTAGAGGCATTTTAAATCTAAGCACACTACACTGAATATAACCACAATGCCTTTAACAAAAATGATGATTGCAAATGTTTGTTAATATGTCGATGTTGATTTTTATTACGTATTCCTAGAAGCTTTCAGTTTATATTGAGCTTGTATTCTTTCCTCATTGTTGCTTGCATCAGTTCCCATTTGCTTAAATTATCATGATGTAGCGTGGTATTTTTAGCTCACAGGGGTGCTATTGTTACATCTTCTTTGCATTGGAGAAGATTCTCTAATGCAAGATAGAAGATGTTATTAGTATCAAAATTCCAAAACCTTTATGCCACAGACTAGTGTTGTTGAAGTGGAATACTTGATCTAATGGAATATGTGTCAAAACATACTAAAATAAAACCTCTCTAATCTGAACTCTTACTAGGATTGGTATTACAAAACATGGTATTTCAGAACATATCAACATATAGAAATGAAATCATTTAGTTGTTAAAACAGCTTGGAACAAATATTAGCTTGTAATTAAGAGACTCTCATTTATGAGGTTTCAGTCATTTAAAGCATGTAGGATGGATAGATACGAGCTGAGAGTAAAAGTTGTCACAATTTTTCAATATTTTTTGCTCTCATTATTCCATGTCAGTAAACCATTGAAAAGTTCAACAGTTCTGAGTTGACTTTATATCAGGATAAGCCTTCTATTTCAAGGTTATCTCTTGCGTCTTAATACCTTCTATATTTTATGAGATATCTTGATTTTTTTTTTCCGAAATGATATTGGGATTTTAAAAGAAACATTGGTATGCTTTTTGAAAATATCACTTCTTGCATTTTACACTCTCCAGGGTTCTCACAAGGAAACATTTGGGGTATTGTAGAAACATTTTCAGTATAACAACTAAGTACAATTCAAAAATATATATTTACTTCATTCCTTTTACAATATACTTTAAATTAATGGGTATTTAGTCAAGTTCAGACTGTGGCAACAAACATGGCGTGGTGAATATATTGTGGTTGGAACTTAATAGACTGTGGTGCTGCTCCACAGTCTAAAAGCTTAGTGAGAGTCTTGCTCTCTGTCACTTCTACTACTAAATTTTATCAATATAGTAATATTACAGTATCTCAGGGATGTTAACAACACAATTATTTTACTTGTGTGTTCCTGACAAGGTTAACATGTTAGGGCCACCATGATTGACAAGTTCAACCCAAAAGAGTATGTTAACTTGACGTAATCTATGCCAAAACCTGAACATCTTTTTAATTTGCCAGTTCCGTATCCGGATGTTGATAAAGTATGGACTTGCTAACTAAACTGCTTATTAAGCAACTGACATCTCAAGTTGCAAAACATATTTTTTGTTCTGTTATTATTTACCAGAACCTTATAGGCATTTAATTCATTATCTTAAGTAAGATTCTCAGTTTCTCAAGAAAGTTAATTATATTTTGAAAGAGGAGTAAAAAATGTCATTCATTTATATAATATTGCATATTCATATACTATTACAATGTATCGTCTATGCTTGGTCTTCACTGCGACCAATAGGAGCCGAGTGAACAAAGATGCTGAAGTATTTTAGGTTTTATTTTAGCTAAATTACTTTAATTATTCACAACTGTGATATTCCTAAACATCTTTAAACTTGAATAAATTATTTTATGATAAGAGATAAGATACTTTGCACTTCAGTATTTGCTCATACCTCACATAATAGTATATTCCTTACAAAAATGTTTATTTTCAACATGATATCACTTTTAGACTATATATGTCTCTGAGATTAACCTGAGTTTTGCTCTGAGATTAACCTGAGTTTTGCTCTAAAATAAACTAAGAAATAGAGATTTAGTGTAATGAGATCATTTATTTTTGAGGGAGGGAAAGGTAGTCCTGTTTTAATCCCCTATGTTACAACCTATCCGCCTTTACTACATACACCTTCTAAATTGGAGATATTTTCCAGTGACTTAGAGTAAGACACAGTTTCATAACCATAGATATTTGCATTATTTGTTTCAGATTAACTGCAAAAAGTGGGTTTATAAGCGATGGGTACGGTAATTATTCGCTGGACACGAAGTGCACCTGGCTTGTAGACAGCGGAGAGGCAAATACCAAGATTCACCTTCAGATGTTGCAGTTTGCGACAGAATGTAGCTGGGATCATGTATATATCTATGACGGAGACTCTGTGTTCTCTTCACTTAGAGCTGTATTAAGGTTTGTTTCATTTTGTTTTTTTTCTGTATTATACAATTATTCAGTGGTCTCCCCAGCATTTAAGCAAGTGGGCGCAGCACCCACCTGAGAATTTAAAAGACATGCACCCATCTGAGATTTCTTTTACACCCAATTGAAGATGAGAAAAATCATGTAAAATGGCATATTTTGACCAATTTTGGACGTAAGTGTGAAAATGAGAATTTTGCAGCCACTTGAGAAAAAATCCTAGGGAGAACACGGTTATTATTATGTATGTATATTGGTAAATAGTTTATGCAAAATAATATTCAACAATATGCCCACTGCTTTGAAGATTGTTGGAATTTTCCATGAAAATCGAATTTTCCATTTCTTACCAAAGTGGCTGCCTAATGTTGAGATTTCCCAATAATTTCCCGATCTCTTCAAAGAAGGGCTGTACTACACTCAAATTGAAGAAATTTTAAATAGATCACAATTATGGTATTGTTTTTCTGATTGTGCCTCAGAAAATTCAGTGGCTGCCAAAAGTAGGAATTGCTAGAATTTAGAAATCTTTTCAAAGTTGGGTTTCATTTAGTTATATAATTAGGTCGAAAATGTTGTATTGTCTTTATGATTTGTGCCTTTGATACACCCAAATGCTTTAATTTGAGGAAATTCTGATATATTTTGTTTTATTGTGCTAAAAAGAATTTTTGTCCATAAATTTTACAAGTAGGTCACTTTGACCTGTATATATATTTATCAAAATCATTTTCCTGAATGATTACAAATTAAATTTGAGTATTGTTACAAAACGTTAATTCTGTTTCTGAGAACAATTCAAGTTGAAGATCATCCACATCAGTCAATCTAAAAATAACTTTTACAGTTCATGATTTTGATTGACAGCTCTATATTTGGAACATGAAATTGATGTCCTGTGTTAAAACTCCAAGGTCAAGCTGATCTGGTCACTCTCTAAGACAATTTAAAATCAGATTTTCAGAAAAATTGATCAATTCTATCTTTATATTTCTCAGTCAAAACATATTTATAGAAAAATTGACCTTCCAAACCATTCTTGTCTATCTTATATGAGTTAAAGTAAGTGGTTTTAATTATGATTGTTTTTGTCTGAAAAGGAGTTTTGCAGTGTTTTGTTGGACTGTTTTGTCAAAGAATTTCTCATAGAAAGCACAATTCCCCAAATATTTTCAGTTCAGCTGGGGTTCTATTTAACTTTTTTGTGTGATGTAATAACCAGTTATACCAAATGAAGATGGCACTGATTCAATCTTTATATAATTCTCATGAGGCGAAGGACCTCTGCTCAACAAGGAATTTTAAATATAGCCACTCAATTCAAATAAAGCCGCCATTTTTTGTAAACGATGTAATCTTTGATAACTCAAATTTCAGTTGCTGGATTTGATTCATGTTTTATATGCTGATACGTCAGAGGCATAGTAATCTTGTCAAGAATCCAAGATGATTGCTGAATTCAAAATAACCGCTTTGTTTCAAAAAAATTTATTTCAATAACTCAAATACTAATTGACAGATTTGGTTCATATTCTATATGCCAATGTCTACTTGGCACAAGAAGGAATGCTAGATTCAATTGAAAATGCCCACCATTTATGATTTCTTCTGATAGTACAAATATCAGTCATGAGTGTAGACTTTGTCAACAGAGACAAAACTGCTACTTGAAGTTCAAAATAAGGAGTGATGCATTAAATTGATTTGTTTGGTGGGATTTGCTACTCCATGGAATTGCTGTTTTTCTAGTTATCCCTGTATCAATATCACTTTGTTTGACTTGAACAGGAGGTGTACACATCTTCACTTCTCAGGTGTCTCAGGCAGTTGAAAATGAGCAAGTGAATATGAGATAGACAGATAGGTATTTGTACAAATCTCACTCCTCAAAATAATCAGATGTTTTCTCCCGCAGAATGTTGAGACTGTTTCTGATGAGATGAACGGTTTTCTTGGCAGAGACTAACTGCAGATCAATGCTACATCACTAAATCTGGAGATGAAATCGCATCAATACTATTTACTCTCTTTAATGTTTATTTCATGTCAGATTGAGCAGCAGATTTTCTACCATTTATATCTCGTACATAATATGTAATGTTTCTATCTTTGTGTCGCTGTATACCATTTCTTGCTTTTATTCTCCCCTTTTCTCTATTTTCTTCATTTCAAAACATATTGGTTTCATTCCTTGGCAATGGTTAAAGATTGTTCTGCTTGGATACATTGATTTCTCCCATTAAGATATCAAAACATCAATGAAACGTGAAGATCAATATAATGGTGAATACTTGCAAATGTACCTTTCATGTTTTTATACAAAATAGAGAAAATTGATATGTAATTGAAAAATCAAGAATGAATGTTCACACTTTCAGTTATGTTGATGTGCTACTAAAGAGCACTTAGTGTTTTATTGACCATTGATGGACAGGTATGATTACAGTTACACCTAGCTGTCTATTTAAACACCACTGGATTGGCAAGTGTTCACATTTCAATGGTTTCAACATGGTTAATTGTTGCAGATTAAAAATTTGACTAAAAAGTGTTCACATTGAGAGGTTTACATATTATCGTGGTTCTATGGTGTTTGGACATGGTTTTACTGTACAGTAAAACATGTCTAAGTGGAACACCTTTGGTACCTCTAATAAGTGTTCTACTTGGGATCTATTCTACTTATAGAGGTTCATTTAAGATTAAGTCTTTTGATCTTGGGACTGAAAAGTATTCCACTGACAGAAGTGTTCCACTTCAAGAGGTGTTCCACTTCTAGAGTGGTTCCATTTTACAGGTTTCACTGTATATTGTAGTTTTCGAGATCTCTAAAATAAACTAGCCTCTTAGTGCTAGAACTGCCTGTCATATTATAAACATTTGCTCTGTTAGGTCTTAGACCATTATACCAGAAGATCAAGCGGAATTCATCTTGTGGATATGTTTACAATTCTAGCTTGTTTGTGATTGGATTGATGTGTCTGTCAAAGGGAATCAATGCTATTGTTTATTCCAGTTTGCATAATAGGCAACATTAAGCGATTCTTAGTTCATTACTCTTAATCAAATTGATCCTGTAGTCTTTAACCTTATGGGGAAATCAATAGTACAAGAGGAGGAAAAGCAAGAAATGAAAACTGTGGCAAGAAGTGTTGAAATTGAATTTTTTGCTTGGTGACCCCTCCATCTTTGAAATGAGTAAGAAATATATTACCAGTACATTCTAACATACAAAAATCAACTTATTAGTCTTTATCCTTGGCCTTTTGTGGATACATATTTATTAATTGATGCTCTATTATGCTCTAAGAAAACTGATTCCATATTCTAACTGTCCTCTTGCAAAGGGTTTCTGTGACGTCTTATTACACTGCCAAATAACTGTTCTACTCAAAATAGAAAAAATCTGATTCTTCCAGATACTCTGAACAGGAATCTGTTTGAAATATACATATCTCTTCAGTGTTATAATTCTAAACTAGTTTTTATTGCACTCATAGGTGCTATATTGCGATCAGTTTTATAGTTTGAATTCCAAAGTATGTACTAGAGAGACACTTGACTAATGAAAAGGGTTTTAGTTTGTATAAACCCTTGTCATGGCAAACACTTGGGAATATACGAAATACTTAATTATGGAGATGAGCCAGTGATTGAAGATCATCTTTGCTGAAAGGTTTCCCAGTCCTATGGTCTTAGCATTAACACTATATATTGTGTGCTCTATATTTATTAAAGATTAGTAAAATTTTAGTAAAACTTAATCTGGTGTTTCAGCATGGAAGTTCATGGCATATTAAAAAATGGGGCTGAAGAACCATTCACATTGAGGTGTTCAGATTGGATAGGTATTCTGATATACGAGTATACAGGTTTTCTGTAATTTTTATATATAATATGTGTGTCCTTTACATTTCAGTGGTTTAATCTTAAAACAGAATGCAGCAAATTCATCCAGTCTCCCTGCAATCACACTTAACACAGGGAAGGCGTACTTTCATTTCTACAGCGATGCTGCATATAATATGAGTGGCTTCAATATATCATACACGTGAGTAGCGCTGTTTGTAACAATGTCGTGCTTGTGAGATTAAATCATAAGATATTTATTATTATCCTACACTTAGTGTACTAAATGTATAATAACATGAAAAAATAAATTTGATATTTATTGGCAAAATGAATATCCGGAGGATATCGTAACGATATACTCCGGGCGGAGGATATCGTGACGATATACTCCGGAAAACCCAATATGCGGAGGATATTGTGACGATATACTCCGCTTGTTGATTTCCCGCCAAATTGACTCTATTTGGCATGGAATTAATTTTACAATGATATACATTCAGTACACTCCTTGTAAGTGTAGGATAATAAGAACATCCTATGATTTTTTTCAGAATATCATTTTAATCTACTCGGTGATATTGATATATGCACTCGTTCGCTTCGCTCTCTCGTGCAGATATCAATATCACCTCGTAGATAAAAATGATATTCCTCAAAATCATAGGATATCCTATAAATACACTCTTTAGCTAGATTTTACAGAAACATGTTTTGGGATTTAGCTGTTATATATAAGTTGGTGTAGATGTATAGCGTGATCTTGATATCTATCAAGTGAAGTACAAATTTTTTCACAGACTCACATGTTTCTGATACATGAGACAGGAATGGCTAGGCACTCATTTCATTTTCTTTCCTAGAATTTTGTTTCTGAATGACTCTAGTAATAAGAAATTTGAAACACATGCCCTAACAACCATTTGTTATTGTCGGCAGATTTAATGGAAACCTCATTATAGTATTCACCTATATCTGCATATCATTTTATTGGATTGTAGAATGTATTAAAGAGATATTGATAGTATCTAATTTTGTGATTTTATTCATATTTTTTATTTGTCAATAGTAAATGTATATCAGTGATTTATAACAAGTCCTTACATGATCCTGTTGTAATAAAAACCAGACAGGATGCCTAGCAACTAGTCTTGTTACTGAGGAGACAAGGATAGATATATTTATAGCTTATATTATTATTAATCGTGATATTGAAAACAAAAAAGTTAGCTATTTTTTATCATAACGTATTGAAAAACAATATTGTGTTAATTAGAAAATAGCTACAGTAAAAAGAAACCCATTACCATAATGTGATAGCACAAGGGGAACATTTAAAAACAGAATAACACTAATTCAGAATGACTAATGTGAACACATATTAAATAATGTTAAATAATATTTAAAAATCAGTCATGCTAACATTCATGTAATTTCTCATTAATATTAAGAATAATATAGCTGACCCATTTCTTGGGGATTTGCATTAGACTGACTAAGAATACAAGAATATAATCATTCTTATACTCATATCATCTTTCTGTTTCACCTCAGGGCTGAGAAGATTTGAGATGTCATGGTTTATCATGATGGAATATAATAGGTATACTGCCCATTAATGCAAGAATAAGGATATTTCCATACATCTAAATCAGCTGTTGGGCTCAGTTTGGACATACTGAGTTCAAGATGATGTATGATTTAACCGATGTCTCGTTTTCTATTGTTTCAGCATTGCTGGATGCCCCAAAGACTGTTCTGGCCAAGGGACGTGTAATATATCTGTGTGTATTTGCGATAGCAAGTGGATGGGGGATGCCTGTGACATTCCTAAGTGTCCCAAAGGATGCATCAATGGCACTTGCGATACACAGAAAAATATGTGTGTATGTGAACCTGGTTTCAGAGGTATGAGAAAAAATGAAGAAATATCCCTGTACATGAAGTTTCATTTCTGTGATCAGAAAACAGCATGATAAATATCTAATACCATAGGCTAGTCATTCTGCTTCTGCTTTTTTATCATAATCAATTGAAGAATATATAGAAGAATATATATATAAAGTCTTGAAAATCAGGTTTGAATACAATTTGAGATTGAAATTGAGAAATCAAAGGACATGTAACCTGCATAACAAAAAATAACATATGGTAGATACAAGCAAACTTAAAAGTAATATGATATAAATGATAATGATAAATAATGATAACTCATAACTGCATATTATATGATCCAGGTATCGACTGCAGTACACCAGACCGCAAGGGCGTATGGATGCCAGAGATTAGCACAAACACTATAGGAGGCAGGGCCTCACATAAAAGTGTCATATATGGTGCTGATATCTATGTTCTCAGTGGAGACAACTTTGGGAATACACCATTTGAAAATATTGTAAAGTAAGTGTAAATGGAAAGTATATAGCTATTATATAATTTTATAAGGGATGATTCATTTTATGTATCATGATTGATTTATCAATTGTGTGTAATTAAGATATTTGTGGTATCTGTCATCTCAAATCATTATTGAAAATGGAGCATTTTGAGTACTTTCGCTATTAAATGAGAACTTCCTTTGAAAAGAAGTAGAGACCGTTCGTCAAATGAGAAATCTTTTGATGTTACAAGTACAGTTCTTGATGGGTCAGTCAATTTATTTTGAACCGTTTTATTTTTTAAATAAATTGTCAAGAAATGGGTTCTGATTGAAAACAGTGCCTCCTTTCATTGCCAATTTCAGTAAACCTTAGCTCTGCTTTTGCCAGTTGAGATACTTGATGATAGGTCAGTCCGCTAAGTTTGCCAAGAAAGGAGTACTGAATATAAAACAGTGCCTCCTTTCATTGCCAATTTCAGTAAACCTGAAATTTGCTGTTTTCTAGTTGAAATTCTTGATGATGGGTCAGTTCACTAAGTTTGCCAAGAAAAGGGTACTGAATATAAAACAGTGCCTCCTTTCATTGCCAATATCAGTAAACCGTAGCTTTGTCTTTTGCCAGTTGAGATACTTGATGATAGGTTAGTCCACTAAGTTTGCCAAGAAAGGGGTACTGAATATAAAACAGTGTCTTCTTTCATTGCCAATTTCAGTAAACTGTAGCTTTGTCTTTTGCCAGTTGAGATACTTGATGATACGTTAATCCACTAAGTTTGCCAAGAAAGGGGTACTGAATATAAAACAGTGTCTCCTTTCATTGCCAATTTCAGTAAACTGTAGCTTTGTCTTTTGCCAGTTGAGATACTTGATGATAGGTTAGTCCACTAAGTTTGCCAAGAAAGTGGTACTGAATATAAAACAGTGCCTCCTTTCATTGCCAATTTCAGTAAACCTGAACTTTGCTGTTTACTAGTTGAAATTCTTGATGATAGCTCAGTCCATTAAGTTTGCCAAGAAAGTGGTACTGAATATAAAACAGTGTCTCCTTTCATTGCCAATTTCAGTAAACCTGATATTTGGTGTTTGCTAGTTGACATTCTTGATGATGGGTCAGTCCACTAAGTTTGCCAAGAAAGGGGTACTGAATATAAAACAGTGTCTCCTATCATTGCCAATTTCAGTAAACCTGATATTTGCTGTTTGCTGGTTGACATTCTTGATGATGGGTCAGTCCACTAAGTTTGCCAAGAAAGGGGTACTGAATATAAAACAGTGCCTCCTTTAATTGCCAATTTCAGTAAACCTTATATTTGCTGTTTGCTAGTTGACATTCTTGATGATGGGTCAGTCCACTAAGTTTGCCAAGAAAGGGGTCCTGAATATAAAACAGTGCCTGCTTTCATTGCCAATTTCAGTAAATCTGAACTTTGTTGTTTGTTAGTTGAGGTGCTTGATGATAGATCAGTCATTGCCAATTTCAGTAAATCTGAACTTTGTTGTTTGCTAGTTGACATTCTTGATGATGGGTCAGTCCACTAAGTTTGCCAAGAAAGGGGTACTGAATATAAAACAGTGTCTCCTATCATTGCCAATTTCAGTAAACCTGATATTTGCTGTTTGCTGGTTGACATTCTTGATGATGGGTCAGTCCACTAAGTTTGCCAAGAAAGGGGTCCTGAATATAAAACAGTGCCTCCTTTAATTGCCAATTTCAGTAAACCCGATATTTGCTGTTTGCTAGTTGACATTCTTGATGATACGTCAGTCTACTAAGTTTGCCAAGAAAGGGATACTGAATATAAAACAGTGCCTCCTTCCATTGCCAATTTCAGTAAACCCGATATTTGCTGTTTGCTAGTTGACATTCTTGATGATACGTCAGTCTACTAAATTTGCCAATAAAGGGATACTGAATATAAAACAGTGCCTCCTTTAATTGCCAATTTCAGTAAACCTGATCTTTGCTGTTTACTAGTTGAGATACTTGATGATAGGTCAGCCCACTAAGTTTGCCTCCTTTCATTGCCAATTTCAGTAAACCCAATATTTGCTGTTTGCTAGTTGACATTCTTGATGATACGTCAGTCTACTAAATTTGCCAATAAAGGGATACTGAATATAAAACAGTGCCTCCTTTAATTGCCAATTTCAGTAAACCTGATATTTGCTGTTTACTAGTTGAGATACTTGGTGATAGGTCAGTCCACTAAGTTTGCCAAGAAAGGGGTACTGAATATAAAACAGTGCCTCCTTTCATTGCCAATTTCAGTAAACCTGAACTTTGCTGTTTACTAGTTGAGATATTGATGATAGGACAGTCCACTAAGTTTGCCAAGAAAGGGGTACTGAATATAAAACAGTGCCTCCTTTCATTGCCAATTTCAGTAAACCTGATATTTGCTGTTTACTAGTTGAGATGCTTGGTGAAAGGTCAGTCCACTAAGTTTGCCAAGAAAGGGGTACTGAATATAAAACAGTGCCTCCTTTCATTGCCAATTTTAGTAAACCGTAGCTTTGTCTTTTGCCAGTTGAGATACTTGATGATAGGTCAGTCCACTGAGTTTGCCAAGAAAGGGATACTGAATATAAAACAGTGTCTCCTTTCATTGCCAATTTCAGTAAACCTGAACTTTGCTATTTGCTTGTTGAAATTCTTGATGATAGGTCAGTTCACTAAGTTTGCCAAGAAAGGGGTACTGGATATAAAACAGTGTTTCCTTTCATTGCCAATTTCAGTAAATCTGAACGTTGTTGTTTGTTAGTTGAGATGCTTGCTAATAGGTCAGTCCACTGAGTTTGCCAAGAAAGGGATACTGAATATAAAACAGTGCCTCCTTTCATTGCCAATTTCAGTAAACCTTAGCTTTGTCTTTTGCCAGTTGAGATATTTGATGATAGGTTAGTCCACTAAGTTTGCCAAGAAAGGGGTACTGAATTTAAAACAGTGCCTCCTTTCATTGCCAATTTAAGTAAACCTTAGCTTTGTCTTTTGCCAGTTTAGATACTTGATGATAGGTTAGTCCACTAAGTTTGCCAAGAAAAGGATACTGAATATGAAATAGTGCCTCCTTTCATTACCAATTTCAGTAAACCTTAGCTTTGTCTTTTGCCAATTGAGATGATTGATGATAGGTCAGTCCACTAAGTTTGCCAAGAAAGGGGTTCTGAATATAAAACAGTGCCGCCTTTCATTGCCAATTTCAGTAAACCTGAACTTTGCTGTTTACTAGTTGAGATACTTGGTGATAGGACAGTCCACTAAGTTTGCCAAGAAAAGGATACTGAATATGAAATAGTGCCTCCTTTCATTACCAATTTCAGTAAACCTTAGCTTTGTCTTTTGCCAATTGAGATGATTGATGATAGGTCAGTCCACTAAGTTTGCCAAGAAAGGGGTTCTGAATATAAAACAGTGCCGCCTTTCATTGCCAATTTCAGTAAACCTGAACTTTGTTGTTTGTTAGTTGAAATTCTTGATGATACGTCAGTCCACTAAGTTTGCCAAGAAAGAGGTACTGAATGTAAAACAGTGCCTCCTTTCATTGCCAATTTCAGTAAACCTGAACTTTGCTGTTTACTAGTTGAGATACTTGATGATAGGACAGTCCACTAAGTTTGCCAAGAAAGGGGTACTGAATATGAAACAGTGCCTCCTTTCATTGCCAATTTCAGTAAACCTGATATTTGTTGTTTGCTTGTTGAGATACTTGATGATAGGTTAGTCCACTAAGTTTGCCAAGAAGGGGGTACTGAATATAAAACAGTGCCTCCTTTCATTGCCAATTTCAGTAAACCTGATATTTGTTGTTTGCTTGTTGAAATTCTTGATGATAGGTCAGTTCACTAAGTTTGCCAAGAAAGGGATACTGAATATGAAACAGTGCCTCCTTTCATTGCCAATTTCAGTAAACCTGAACTTTCCTGTTTGCCAGTTCAGATGATTGATGATAGGTCAGTCCACTAAGTTTGCCAAGAAAAGGGTACTGAATATAAAACAGTGCCTCCTTTCATTGCCAATTTTAGTAAACCTGAACTTTGCTGTTTGCTTGTTGAAATTCTTGATGATAGGTCAGTTCACTAAGTTTGCCAAGAAAGGGATACTGAATATGAAACAGTGCCTCCTTTCATTGCCAATTTCAGTAAACCTGATATTTGTTGTTTGCTTGTTGAGATACTTGATGATAGGTTAGTCCACTAAGTTTGCCAAGAAAGGGATACTGAATATGAAACAGTGCCTCCTTTCATTGCCAATTTCAGTAAACCTGAACTTTGCTGTTTGCCAGTTGAGATACTTGATGATAGGTTAGTCCACTAAGTTTGCCAAGAAAGGGATACTGAATATGAAACAGTGCCTCCTTTCATTGCCAATTTCAGTAAACCTGAACTTTGCTGTTTGCCAGTTGAGATACTTGATGATAGGTCAGTTCACTACGTTTGCCAAGAAAGGGGTACTGAATATGAAACAGTGCCTCCTTTCATTGCCAATTTCAGTAAACCTGATATTTGCTGTTTGCAAGTTCAGATACTTGATGATAGGTCAGTCCACTAAGTTTGCCAAGAAATGGGTACTGAATATAAAACAGTGCCTCCTTTCATTGCCAATTTCAGTAAACCTGAACTTTGCTGTTTACTAGTTGAGATACTTGATGATAGGTCAGCCCACTAAGTTTGCCAAGAAAGTGGTACTGAATATGAAACAGTGCCTGCTTTCATTGCCAATTTCAGTAAACCTGATATTTGCTGTTTGCAAGTTCAGATACTTGATGATAGGTCAGTCCACTAAGTTTGCCAAGAAATGGGTACTGAATATAAAACAGTGCCTCCTTTCATTGCCAATTTCAGTAAACCTGAACTTTGCTGTTTACTAGTTGAGATACTTGGTGATAGGACAGTCCACTAAGTTTGCCAAGAAAGTGGTACTGAATATGAAACAGTGCCTCCTTTCATTGCCAATTTCAGTAAACCTGATCTTTGCTGTTTGCTTGTTGAAATTCTTGATGATAGGTCAGTCCACTAAGTT